TATAATTTTTAAAAGATTTTTGATTGTTTTTTTCATTTATTAAAACATTCCTGTTTTAAGATGTAACAGATTATTTCCATGAATTTAAGTTACCTGGGTAATTTTTGGTTATCCTGTACCATTGGGCAAAGCTTCCCAATGTAAAGCGAAAGTTTTTGGTTAGTTGGTTTTGCTTTGATTGGTTGGCTAGAAAAGGCATTATTTGTTCATTATCAACTCAAGCCTTCCCAGGAAAGGTGTGCGTTTTTTCCTTTTGTATGACCTCGCATGAATATTTTAATATAGACAACTTGGTCACAGCCATTTCCAAGTTTTATTATATGCGTTGCTAAAAAAGTTTTAAAAACAAAGAAAGTAAAATAACCAAATAGGAAATTAAAATAAAATTAAATAGAAAATAATAATAATAGTTAAAATAATTTGTAAACTGTTTTTATTTTTATTTCTTCATAGTGGTTAATATATTCTGCGACAAAATTCAGTAAGTTAAAGCGAAAAAAACAAAAACAAAAAAAACCAGTTTTAAACATTAAAAAGATGACTTCCCTATATTTTATTTGTTTTTTTTTAAAGAGCAAAGCAAAAATATGTTCTGTCATCTGTTTGTAAAATATATTTTTATAGTTTAATGTTACAAGTATATATTAAGGGTTGAATTAAGCGATCGCATTTTGCAAACTCTGGAAAAATATCTTTAAATTTTAGTTTGTGCAAAGCTTTGTACATTGTTTTCAAGGAGTTAATTATTATAAGTTTGTTAGCGAAAAAGTTATAAAAAACAAAGCAAAACAATAAACTTATGACTACAAAAGTAATAACACTTTAGTCACTAACTGTGTTATAAAAGTAATAAAACTATAATAGTGTTATTACATTTATAAAGCACTTATTACTTTTAAAGTTCATTCTTTATTTGAACAACATTAGTAATTCCAAACATTAATTAAAGTAGAAAAGCATCTAGAAAAAATAAAGTGGATACTCAAATATTATTAAAAACTTTAGGAACTTTTACAAATCACTTAAACAACTTTACAAAAACATACTTTATAAAAAGTTTATTGTTATGAAAAACCTTACTAATAGTCAGTAAAAACGCGAGTTAGTTTTAAATTCAACCAATTTTTATTGGTTGATTCTAAAATTAACGCACATTTTTAAGGACCATTAGTAACACTTTTCATAATACTAAACCTTTTATACGTTACATTTGTATAAAGTTGTTAGTTACGTTTTTATAAGTTACTTAAGTTTTAAATATTGTTTGAATATCTACTCTTTTTTTCTAGATTCTTTTCTGCTTCAAATAAAATTTGTGATTACTTAGGTTGATTTAACAAAGAATGAATTATAAAAGTTATAAGTGCGTTAGAAAAGTAATAACACTATTATAGTGTTATTACTTTTTTAATGCAGTTAGTGACTAGAGTTATTACTTTTGTAGTTGTAAGTAAGACAAAAAACTGCACGCCTTTCCTGGGAAAGCTTGTAACTATAATTAAAATGGCTTCTAATGAACAAATTAATTTTGAAATTATTTCGCTAAATTTTTTCCAAACAAATAATTTTGTGGGTTATGAAATTTCTGACCCAGATCTAAATATTTTAATGAGGCTCATTTTTTGCAGAGTAACTGATCTTATTTTTTTAACAGTAAAATTTCTTGAGCTTAAATGTGTTGCATACCAATATAAGAATTCTGAACAAAAATTTTGAAGCTTTTTTATATTATATGAAGGATAATATTGATATTTTAAACATTTCAATTCTAATTTAAATTTTCTTTTACCAGGTTTCACTATTATACTGCTAGAGTATAAAACAAATAAATGAAGCAATGTATTTTTATTTATACAAAAGAATATTCTGAATAAAATATTCTTTTGTATAAATAAAAATACATTGCTGCATTTATTTGTTTTATATAATAGAAAATTTGTCAAAACCTTATTATTGTCATCAGAATAAAAATTTTCTGATGACAATAATAAGGTTTTGACAAATCAAAGTATTATTAAAAAATAAATAAAAATATACTTTTGAGTTGCTGGCCATCAACTGATGTAATAAATATTTTAATACTTTTTTAAATGAAGTGATTTAAAAAAAAAAGTAACCACAAAAAAAAGTTAAACTATTTAGTTAATTTTTTTTATTTTGGATTGTTTACACGTCAAAAACAACATTAAAGAGTTTTAGAATGACTTGTTTTAAAATCCAGCGTTTCCACTAATAATTAAATCAAGAAGAATCAATGACTTCATTAATTGACAATATCATAACGAATGATATTTTTAATTTTCAAAAAAGGATTAAATAATCATTAAATACGATATCAACTATTATTTTTTTCTCCAAAAATTCTAAAGTAATATTAATTAAAAAAGGTAACTTTTAAACGCATTTATAGTAAAACAAATTTATCATTATTTAATAACCAATTATCAATGTTTCATTGGCAACATATTAATCATTCTCAGGACGCAAACTTAGCTTATAGCAGTTTTCTTAAAACATTCTACAATATTTATGATGCAAATTTTCCCAAAATTGAAATAAACCAAAGATTAAAAAAAATAACATCCTCATGTATAACTAATGGACTAAGAAACTCTTCCAAAGTTAAAAAAAAATTATATATTAAGTACCTGAAATTAAGTACCAGTTGAAAGTAAAACTATTTACAAATAATGAGAGTAATAAGAATTCAAAAAACAAAGGAAAAAAAAAAAAACAAAAAAAAAAATAAGGCGAAAACAAAAAAACGGGAATGGTGTCAGAAGCGAATTTAATGAATAGTGTTGAAAACAAAAAAAAAGAATAGTGTCGCAAATGAATTTAATGAATAGTGTTGAAAACAAAAAAAAGGAATAATGTTGCAAGTTGTAAAAACGGAATAGTGTCACAAATAGTTAATTTTAGCAATTATTTCTTTTGCTTATCTTTATAGCATACAGCTTTTACAGAAGAAAATAAGAAAAAAACAAAGAATAATAAAAGAAAAAATAGCTACCAAACCATAAACTTTCAGCCTTGTAACGGCACTCCTTTGTGGCAGCAGGCTATAAGATAGTTGGTGTATTTACTGAAGTCCCCGGCAGCATGCTATTTCAGTATGGCATCAAACATTTTATCATTAATAGTTATTTTTTTTTTTTCAGTATGGCATCAAACACATTAATAGTTATTATTATTTTTTTATTTTTGTTCTATTTTCAACACTATTCATTTAATTCATTTGCAACACTATTCCTTTTTTTATTTTCGACACTATTCATTAAATTCATTTGTGACATTCCTTATTTTGTTATTCAACAATCAATGATGCGACAATTTACAAAACTATTCCTTTTTTACATTTTCGACAATTAAATTTGCTACAATGAAACTTTGTGACAATCAAAATTTTGTGACACTATTTCTGTCACTCAATAAATAAATCTGAATACAAAATTTTTATTGATTTATCAAAAACTTTTGATAATATTGACCATCAAATTCTTATTAAAAAGCTCAAGTTATATGGAATTACAGGAATTATTTTAAAATGGTTAAATAGTTATTTAAATAATTGTGCTCAATATGTACACATTGACGCCAAATCACTAAAAACGTTACTAAACATTATTTGTGGCTTCTTAAAAGATTCTAAACTTGGATTTCTTTTTTTTTAAATATATGTCAATTATCTCCATAAAGCATCCTTCCTGAGGACAATAACGTTTGTTAATAACACAAATTTATTTTTATCGCATAACAATATTACTTTATTATTTAAAATTATGATTTACATTACTTTATAATTTGAAAAAAACTTCCAACCGGTTTAAAGTAAACAATTTTTTAGTAAACATTGACAAAACTAACTGGACTATATTATTTACTTTCCAAAAAAAAAATTAATACAATATGAAATGCCTTTTATATTCATTGATAATTTTCAAGTAAAAAGAATGAAAACTACACAGTTTTTAGGAATATATTGATGAAAATCTTACATGAAGACAGCATATTGAAAATTTATAGAACAAAATTTCAAAAAGTATTGGAATATTATACAAATCAAAAAGTTATTTAAACATCTGCACTTTAACACAACTGTATTATTCATTTATTTACTGCCATATCAACTATGCAAATATTGCCTTAAGCAGTACTAACAAAAGTAAATTAGACCTTCTTCCACGTCATCAGTAGCACATTTCGTTAATTTGTGTGATCGAAAAACTCATTTGAAGCCTCTCTTAAGAAAAATGAATGTAATTATCTCAGTCTCCTTTTCATAGTTTATTTATAACAAAACAACAAAATAAATACGGTCTACAAAATGACGATTTTTTGATTCAACCATTTTAAAAAACTAATTATAGTCAATTTTGCATAACATTTCATGACGTGTATCTTTGGAACAAAATTGTCTTAAATAACTTTGATTTTTCTTTTAAATGGAATTACATATCTTTAAAAAAAAGTTGAAAGAAGTAGTTTTTGAATTTGACAATATACAAATGTACTTTTAAAACTTTTGGAAAGCATTTTTATTTATTGTTTATATCAGTTTATATGATTTGTTATTTATGATTTTTAATGAAAACTTGTATAATTCGTAATTCAATTATTTATGTAAATATGTATTTATTTAATTCAATTTTCTGCAAGCCTGTACTTGCAGATATGATATTGTCTGTATAATCTTTAAAAAAATTTTTGTTTTTTTTTATTTTTTTTGTTTACGTTGTCAAATATTAAACATGTAAACATGTAACACGTCATTTTACAGCAGAATCTCATCATTCGTTTTTTTATGTATTAAAATATAAAATGATATGACAACAATATGCAACATAAAACAAAAAAAAAAATTATTTATATAAATGTTTATGCAAATATTTAGGAATATATAAACAAATGTGAATTTAGATATAAAGTCATTTATAATAACTAATGATTCAACTAAATATTATAACTACTTTTATTTTATTAATTTATTTTATTTTTAGTGTGTATATGTCTGAAATACTAGCAATTGCCAGTCCACCAGTAAATCAACATTACATTGTAATTGACAGTTTTACAGATCTTTCTGGTTTCCTTGATCAAGTTACTGCTGTTTCCTGTGATGGTAAAGTTTTTTATCATAGCACATAACTAAAATAATTAAGTTCATAATTTTAATTTATTATAATTTATTATAAAATTCATTATTTCAAAATTATAGTTTTAAATATTTATAATAAATAATTGAGTATATTTGTATTATAAAATGAAGCAACAGTGAAATAGTGTAAAGTGGTAGTGATGCAGTTGAGGTGCAGTCAAAAAGGTAGTTAAGCAGTTGAATATGTTGTACTATGAGATAATGTACAATGGTACATAAGGTACAATAAAAGAGTTAATCTAGATGTTAGCAGTGATGGTAATAGGTGTAATGTAATTCAATGTTGATGATCCATTAAAAGAGCTAATGATATAACAGAAAACAATAGAAGTAAAAGTAGAGATCAACTTTTTTTTATTAAACAAATGTATAACAAAAAGCCTAACACGGCTGCTTTAAATAAGAATAATAATATAATTATGTCCGAAAATTGATATAAATAATTAAGAAAGTAAAGCAGATGATAAATTAGAAAAACTCCTTAACTTAATAATTTAAAAACTAAGATAAAAGACTGTTTAGAAAAGGTTTAAAAATACTTGACAGAAAAAGAAAAAAACTAACTATCACACAGAATATTTAAGACAATAATATAATGAAGGAAGACAATAATATAATGAAGGAAGACAATAATATAATGAAAGAAGACAATAATATAATGAAGGAAGACAATAATGTAATGAAGGAAGAGCAAACAAAAGTTTTAAGTATAAAAAGCTTCAAGTAATCTGGAAACAAATTTTTTAGTTTTAAAGCATTGGTCATTTATAGAAAAGAGAATGAAATGTTTATTCTTGACGTTTAAATTATTAGAGGACACTTATGTTCTTAACTTATGTTTTTAATCTGTAAATCATTTTTACAATAGTTTTGATAATAATAACAATAACAATAGTAATAATAATAATAATAATAATAATAATAATAATAATAATAATAATAATAATAATAATAATAATAATAATAATAATAATAATAATAATAATAATAATAATAATAATAGTAATAATAATAATAATAATAATAATAATAATAATAATAATAATAATAATATATGATAAAAAAAAAAGTTAATACAAATTATATTAATAATAATAATATGTATGTTTACAATAATTACAATGAAAAAATCACTGATAAAAAATAGAATGTTTACCATACTTCTGGGTTTTAAAAGATGGTACATTAATTTTTCCATTGTGTTTCTAGTAGAGTAAGAATGTAATAGTCTACTTTCTATGAACAAGTTTGTGATAGGAGATGGTAAGTTTTTATTAAAGACCAGATATGGCAGCAGTACATCATACAAGGAATATGAAGCAGTATAAAGGGCCGATAAGAGCATTATAAATAAATGTGTTTGTTTTAACCCTGTATAAATTAAATTATAAAAATAAAAATATTATTTATTTATAATAAATATTATTAAGTATTTTAGGTAAATAACAAAAATCTGGAAAATATATTCTTTCATTTGAAAAAAAGGTCTCAGCAATATTGTGAGACATTTTTCACACTTTGTTTTTATGTTGGTTAAAGTTTTGCTTAATAAAATTTGAGAATAAAATTAAAAAACTTTTTTTAATACTGATTCACTCACATCGAAGTTGCTTAGCAACTTATCAAGGCTGCAAAAAACTGCTAATAAATTAGGAGTTACTAACAGTGTGGTTTAAAAAAGATACGAAGAAGTTGAAATGCTTTTTAAAGTATAAAAATCTTATAAAAACTTGGCCGTCATCATGAAACTGGCATTTAAAACATTTTACATTTAGCAGAAATTTTGATTGCATTTACAATAAGTAATAGAAAATTGAAGCATGTATTCTATTTTCTAAATATAAAATTTTTGAAAAATCATCACTAATTTTTTAATCAAACTTTAAAATTCTTTGGCTTAAATGAGATATCTGATTAATGGGATTTTTCTGCTATCTATATGTTATAGGAATGAATTAATCCCAGTAGAGTCTATGATAGAATCAGAAAACAAGTGTGTTAAAACCCTTATAAAAAAAGGGCCAACACCACAAAAGTTAGAACATTAAGTCAGTTTATATTAGTTTATGAAATAAACATAATTATGATAATTTATGATTATTAATTAATATGATAGTAGATACTGCCACATTATTATATTGTGGTTTTCTCAAAATCACTTTTTTTTTAAAAAATATTAAATTACCTTCCCATATTTATTGTAGTATTGTTTAGTATGAGAGAGACTTTTAAACAAAATGAGGGAGTTTCATCAACTGTAGTGGTTTCTTCTGGATCCTTGAAGGGATAAATTTGATAAAAATAAAGTTAAATAATAATTTGATTTAAAAACTTTATTTTTTGTTGATGGTTACAATAGTTTTAACAAGAATAAACTAATTAAAATCAACACATTTAACAATTATAGACAATAAACACTCTCATGAAAATCGTTAAAAAAAAAAAAATGTTTACATATATTTAGTCAATTTACAATTAAATTTTAAAAAAATATTTTAAAACAAAAATCTAACTACAATTTAAATAGTCTTAATATAAGTTATAAATTATATTAAAATATTAAAATTACAATTGTTTCTTTCAGAAAAATGTGTAAATATTGTAATATAATGTCAGGATAAATAAAAATAGTAAAATAAAAAAAATAAATAAAAAAGTTAAAAAAAATAAATAAATAAATAAAAAATAGATAAATAAAAACAGTAGTTAAAAACGACAAATTTTACAATAATTTTTTGCGTACCAATTTTTAATATGTTTTTTGAACACCTCAGAACTTTTAGAGGACATGGTCTTGTTATCTAGAGTGTTCCATAATGAGATGGCTCTGGGCTCTATATATAGTACAACTTTTATTTGGAGCCATTTGAAGGTAGAATCATTTTTTGCTGCAACGAAGTTTAAAAGGAAGGTTTTTTGTATTGAATAAATCCTTCATAAATTCTGGATTTAGACAATTAATTGATTTAAAAACTTCTATCATAAAAAAAACACAAATTTCTTAATTGGATTCTTGGACTATTATCAAAACTTACCAATTCATCAAGAGGTAAATCAAACCTTTTATGGACAATACAAAGAGCTTTTTTATGAACTCTATTTATAAGGTTGTCAAAGTATTTAAAACAAATTATCCAAATTAGGGGAAAATAAGAAAATTTGACATTATGATGGCGTTAAACAACAAGATAGCTTTATTATGGGATTATTTATGCGCGAAAGAGCAAAACATTTACCATTAGCTTTACTGCATTAGTATTTAATGTGTTCTTTAAAATTTAGATTCTTATCAACTGTAACACCAAATCGTTTCACCCTAACAGAGGCAAAAACTCTTATATTACCTATTTTTAGTTATTGATTAGAAAAGTAGTTAAAATTTATCAGGGTTAGCAACCATCAAGTTCAACTTGAACGCATACAGCGTTTCATCATCAGCAAAGTTGCACAATTCAGTATCTTTAATAAATAAGAATATATCATTTATAAAGATATTAAAGAGGATGTTACAAGGATGGAACCTTGAGGCACTCCCAATAAAATATCAACCCAATTAGAAACAGAAGGTCCTATCCTTACCATTTGTTTAGGCTTTATTTAGAGAAACTATACACTTCTAATTTAGCAATAAGTAGGCCATGCCAAATGAAATTGTACATTTTAGATAGATCCATTATTAATGTCCCAACAATACCTCCATTGTTAATGCGTTCATGCCACATATTAAGTAAAAAAATTAGTGTATGCTAAGTACTATAACCTCTACGAAAACTATACAAAAGTTTGTCAAATTTTGGCTCATAAGTAACATTTGTTCATAAGCAATCATTTCAAAAACTTTAATGAGAGCGGGTAGAATACTTATAGTTTGATAGTTAGCCTTATCTGTTGGGTCGTTTTTCTTAAGATATGGTAAAACATCCACCATTTTTAGAAATGATGAAAATGTTCTATCTAAGATGCTATTATTGATACAATCTGTAAGACTATCCCTAAAGTGTATTTTAAATAAAGTTTCATTATTTATTGTAATAAATAAAAATCTAAGATCTTTTAATTTTTAGCTGCAGTCCCGCTAGACAGAAGATCTTACTTTACAAGCTTTTGGAAACCAGACATTCAGCTCAGATTGCCGCTCTAAAACTAATTGCAAAATAACCACAGGAAATTACTGCTGCTCTTATGCCATTCCTTTACCTTCAACAAAAACATCTACTCATGATGAGCAAATGACTTGACGATGAAACAGAATTTTTTATAAAGCGAATGATGATAACAAAATTGCAATGAACCTGAGTATGCAGTTTTTTTCCATTAATTCTATAATATATAAACTTGAAGTGAACATCTTTAACATTGAGCTTTGTCGTTCTTTTCAACAAATTAAATTTAAATTTGGGATTATAAAAACTGTTTCATTAAGATTCTCATTCATCTGGTTTAAAGATCAAGAACCGGTAAAAATTAAAGCTTGAAATAGAAGACAACTTTATGGAAGATTTTTTCATCATTTGAATTTGAATTTGAATTGAGTTTGAAGTAGTTTTCATTTTTTACTTCTGGAAACACTTAAGGTTTTCTCAACCAAATATACTCAAAAGATCTAGAGCTTATTTTCCAATCTATATGCATTCTAATTCACATTTTTTAACACCAGTACCTGTTGTAAGAGATGAATGACCTTTAAGTAAACTAAAATTTACTTAAATGATTGTAATGTATAATGATTATAATGTGATGTATGTCACTATAAAACAAAAGATTTAAGATTGTCTATCAGATGTTTATAATGAAATTAGAAATGGATACAACTCTTTTTTAAGATGACATAATAATAATAAT